TAAAATTAATTTTAAAAAAGAAATAAAAATAAATATGGGACTGAGGATATAGTGTCCTGGGTTCAAACCTTGGTATTCAAAAATAAAAAATTAAAAAGTTATACTGATACAGGGGGAATAGTTGCAATTCCCAAACTTGCTAGCTATCCAAACACCAGTTCATGTTCTCTAAAATTCAAGAACAAATTCTAGGAACAACGGAGGTTAAGAGTAGGAAAAATTTATTGACAGAAAGAGCTTCTGTCTAACAGAGACAGAAGGGAGAACAGAAAATGAGTTGCCCCCCTCAGCCTGCTTCTCAAAGGTGTTTTGTGGAACAAAGCCAAGAGGTGAGGCGGGTTCAAGGTGGAACAAAACTATAGTGAACTAGTAAAATTACAAGTACAGTCACTTAGGTATTATTGGTCCAATGAGAAATCACAAGGTAGACATGAGTTGGGACAAAACTATGATCAACCAATAAGACTATAACAAGTATAGTTGCTTAGGTAATATTGATTAAATGAGGATCCAATGGGGAAGCAAGTCACATAGCAAGTGTACAAGAATTTTCGGTAAGGAGTGAGTCAGGGATCTTTCCTGGAAGATCTTGGTCCCCCACCCAGGTGATTGATACCTATTCAGAATATCAATCACTGCTATTTATCCTTAGGGGAAGCATTCAGATGTGGTAGTTTCTTTTCTTTTACAATGCTGGCCTTCAGTGAATGTGTTTCACTGTCCTCCATGTTGGCTCCTCAAAGGCTGCCCTATCTGACTGCCTACAGGATAGCTAATGAACTTACCTATCTACAATAATACTACAAAGCCACAGTAACAAAAACAGCATGGTAGTGGCACAACAAGAGATCTTTAAGCCAATGAAATAGAATAGAAGACTCAGAAACAGCCCCACACACTGTCAGCTGTTTGACAAAGGGACCAAAAGCATATGCTGGAGAACAAATCTCCTCTTTAACAATGGTGCTGGCCAAACTGGTTATCCACCTCTAACTAGACTCCTGTCTCTTACCTTATACTAAAATCAAATCAAAATGGATCTACACACAAAACCAGAAACATTTAAGCTGCTAGAAGACAACATTGGGGAAGTACTTAAGGCCATAGACACAGGGAAGGACTTTCTTAATAGAACTCCAATAGCATAAGAAATAATATCAAGAATCACAAATGAGGCCATATTACATTTAAAAGTTTCTGGACAGCAAAGGAAACAATCAACAGAGTGAAGAGACAACCTACAGAAGGAGAAAATATTTTTGCCAGTTACTCTTCTGATAAAGGAGCAATATATAGTGTAAGACCGAGGGCCTTACCAAACACTCCGAGGAGCTGACTGCAGCAAAGAGCACCCAGGAAGGAACACACCAGACAAGTTGGAAAGTAAAACAGACCTTAGTCTGGCCAGACGGCACTCCCAAAGCAAAGTAGCTTAGAGAGGCGACTAGCCCAGAGTCCGAGGCTCTTTTTATAGGGGGTTGCAGGGGAAGTTAACAGGTGAAATT